CGAGGCTGGTGGGGCTGTCGCGAGTTGTGGAATCAGTGAGTAGTGGCATCATTCGCCGCTACTCACTGCTGTTGTCCTATTGTTGTGCTGACAGGACAGGTTGTCGCGCTCATCAGTGTGCTACGTGTCTCAAGCTCTCTATTTATGCATGTATGTATGTCTACAGACACACACATGTGTTTGTGTGTGTGTGAAAATGGATCACTTTCTTTCGGCCGCTGGCATACAGGGGCACGTGGCATACATGCGGATGACCGCACTCAATTGCACATGTACAGTAGATGTGTCGAGTTACGACAAACTGGCACAGCACTGGCAACTTCAGCTGTAGCCGGTGCCTTATTTAAATTATATGAATATGTGAATGATCGCGTCAAGGTCTGCCTGGAGGGTTGTGTCGAGTTGGGGGAGGGGAGGTGAAGACGGGGTGTGCATCGGCCAAAGTGTGGAATGCAATATGATCGTTTCCAGTTGGCAATCGCAGTGAAATTGGGCCTTCGAGTGGACCAACTCGAATAATTGCCACCATGTTCTAATTGCAAGCAGCCCCCTCTCTCCCCACACCTCGCGCTCTCCCTCCTCTGATTGGCCATCTGTATCAAGAAGTTTACAATCTCCTGGCCCCCCCCCCCTTCTACTGCTCTGGCTCTCTCCCTCCCAGGGGTGTTGGCCGCCTTGTTTGTTGGCAGGACGGGCTCTGGAGCAGGCGATAAGCCCGATTCGCGTCAGTCACCACGGACACCCGATTTCCGGCATCAAGTCGTCTTCCATAAAGATCGTCTTCTCGTCAGGACGTTGAAGGTGATCCAAGGAATGACGTTTGAATTTTCCTTCCGGTGAACTGCAGTTTCGACCTTGCCGGGTCGTGAAGATCACTTCACTTCACAGTCACGGTTAGGTCAAGTATAATCGAAATTACATGTTATCGTGGCATTAGCAAATAAGCAAACGTGCGTTTGTCAGTACATTCGACGATGTAACTTATTTTTGGTATAAATAATTGTTTAGACTGTCGTCAATTCTGAAATGGCAACTTGGTCTCAAGGACCTATTTCAAAAGGGAAAAGACGTATTCAGCCCAAGTCAGTTGATATATGCGAAGAAAAGTTGGGTTTCGGCGAATCTCTCGATGCATAATTGTTGAGCTGACCTCCATTTCGAGTGAAGATGTCGACGGCGGATTACTCTTGACCAGCTGGCGAGTGGCTTTACTGGAACATTCTTGTTGACACTGTTTCCGAGGTAGTCACCTTCGATTGCGATGGAAACGTGCTAAGCTTGAACACGTCATATGATGAACATCGTCAGAACAAGGTATCATCCTTACACCGGCACATCCATAAAAAGCTGTATCTATACTCTGCCTGACCACATCACTTTATACCTCATCAAAGAGGTCAGGCATAGAGTGCATGTACAGCTTTGTATGGGTGTGCCAGTGAGTTTTCTCGACTGTTTAGCTTGCGTTTGCTTGTAAAGATGATACCTTGCTCTGATGATGTTCGTCATATGACGGACGAAAGCTTAGCTCGTTTTCACCAGAATCGAAGGAGACTACCTCGGAAACAACGTTAGCAAGAATGTTCCAGAGAAGCCAATCAATAGTTGGTCATTATGGGGTCGACCTTCGAATCTGTTCACCAAACATTTTCACTCTAAATGGAAATAAGCTCAACAATTTAGAGCTTGATAGCTGAAAGTTCCCACAGTCAAATGAATAGGCCTGGCGAATATAGCAATCGAAATAATGGTAGCAATGATGAAAGTAATAATAATTCAGATTTGATACTTTAGAATTTGTTCGACCTTGTCTTCCCAACATGATCATATTGGCATGTTGGAGTTGGTATATGGCCAGACGCTTCGTCGGTATCGTCAGTGAGCTTTGCCGTTGTTGTCTTCTTGGTGGTGCTAAGAATGACA